GTCGTTTATTAAATTGGGCAATCTGCCACTACGTTGTTACAGATTCAGATCGATGCTTGGAACCACATGATAGATAATGCGGGATTCAGTTCACCGAACGGAAAAAAAGACCAGTCGGATCTGATCATTACGGTAGACATTACGAGGAATAGGTAATGTAATGACGCATTATGGACCGGGTAAAGAAGCACCGAATTCCCTTTTGGATTGAGCTGACGCTACGAATTACCTACCTTTACCGAGTAACCCATGAAAATGGTAATTACAATAGTGCTAGCCACGCAAAGAGAGAGCGATCGTAAGGATAAAGAATATTTTATAACCGAATTGTTTTTATACTCCATAGAACTGAAGAACGATTGATCTGATGACCACATAAACTCATTATATATGGACAAAGGAAATCACAGATGAGTGACTGGGAAGCACAGTACATCGACTCCAACCTTGTGGGGAGAGGACCGATAAAAAATCACTAATGACTAATAATTATGTATGGAGTAGCTCGGCAAGCATTAGGGTTTGGACTTAACTTGCGGCACGTAATCACCAATTATCCGATAGCATACAACCCAGAATACCCCCTCCATCATTCACCTATACGATCCTAAACAGTAGCATACGACCTCTTCAGCTTCTTGAAGAACAACTTAAAATGATCAGCCTCGCAAAGCTGCAATAGTGTTGTTCTACAGACGATTTGTTGGGTTAGTAGTACTCACGACCTTCTAGTAAAGAGAGCTTCTATTCCAATGAAGAGGGCGGAGAGCCAATATCTTGGGTTATACCTAGATCAATGAACCATGGGAGGGTAGCTTATCTAGTGGAGCTGGAAATCAGTCTTCATCCTTAATAACAAGAACAATAGACTAGCAACATCCTAGTAGCGAAATTCGCTGAGTCGATTGGGTAATCAGATGTATTGAACACCATGGGCATGTGAAAGCGCCTCAAGGATCAGAACACAGTACTCAGTGAACTGCGGTTTTTAAACACCACTTCCCTGCTTTGGATAGCCGAAGAACCCGGTGGTGAATCCCCCAGAAAACCACCGGCTTTTCAGTAGGCGCCCAGACGGCATCACACCCGCAAACCAATTGTGGGTTGGTTAATTGATTTGGACTAAAACAGGTGTGAAATACACATCGGTACCGACTCCAACCGCATCCATAACCTGTATAGCCTAGCTAGTGCTCTTCAAAAGCGCTATGTACTTGTATGTGGAATGACCACAACAACTACGGCAATTAACTCTGATGGATACACCACCTGATGGCATCCCATCCCTCATCGCACGAACAGCATAGAATTTAATCCAGTCTCCGCTATCTGTTTCCAATTCGTCTAAGCGGCTCAGTGGAGGATAATGCAGACACCAAAGTAGGCACACTATATATCCAATGGGATGCTGACGGAATTGATAAAAATAGGGCACGGTCAGTTCTTGTTCGAGGGTACTCCTCTAGTTTCTGAGCAGTCAAATGCTGCCAGTGAAGCAACGGTGGTAGGTTATATTCGTGTAAAACAAATCGTTTTATATTGATAGTTGACATCTTATTGTGGTGTTTGAGCAGAACCGCTGGCGGTTGCTCGACCACCGGGACACTAACACCATCCGTTAAACAGCCTTTCCCCTTCGGTAGGTTCGAACTGATTGCACTTATCAGGTCGAGTGATCGACAACAACAACACACAGGCAGTAACGTAATCCAGGCACTTGAACATATATCGATGTGGCAACAGCAGATAGTGAATGATGACTTCATCTGCCGAATACGAATTTGAAATCATGAATTGTGAAATGTATGTTGGACAAGGAAAATGATTTCATCTCTAAAGACTCACAGTTTTGCACATCATGGCCAGTGAGACAACAATCGGCAATCACCAGACCGGAACTGCGAAAACAAGGCAACNGCAACCAGTGAGTTCAACTCTGCCTTAGTAACCAATGTTTGCTTCATCCGTATGTTTAACCCTGGCACTGGATGCAAATGATTTGGCTTTTGATCTGTTCATTATTCTTTTGCCCACATATGCAATTAGATTGAGTGCAATATGCAAGCGTATAAAGGCTGCCGCCGCCAAACTACACTGGTTATTTTGTGTAAAACAAATTTCTCTACGGGTGACTGATTGAATGGTCATCTTCGAGTCATTTCAAATGACACGAATGTTGATTGCATCGGACAACCGTCACAGGTCANACAACCGTCACAGGTCACAGACGTTAAATCGTAACGACCAATCACGGCAGTGCGCAGCACACGAACATGCAAATGTGCACGACCCCTTGACTGAGACGCACGAAATTGGACAAGGGCCAAAGGGCAGACATCAGACCGCATACCAACACAACCATCAAACTTTAGGTCTGAACCAGGTACCATGGTAACTATATCCATCGCATATCACCGTGTTCGTCTCACCATAAATGCCAGACAAAAAGAGAAACAAACAAACGCTTATTATGATGGACTGACATTTGTCGTAGACGAGATATGAAATAAACAAATGGGAAATTGACTAAATCTCGTGCTCCCCTCCGAGATATCACGGCACTTTGTCTGTCCGGAAGTCAAAACATCGGTTTTCAAGGTGAATCTCAGTAAGGGCATTTTATGATACCAGAGGTATGATTATAACCGAAGAGTAGATTGAGTCAAAAGTAGCGAATATTACACAGTTATCTTATGTATTGTTCTCAGCCCAAAGTTGGAGATAACAGACTGGATAGGCGAAGTTGTGTAGCGGTGGATCGAAGAAAACGATGCAAGAAACCCATTTGTATGGCTTATAGAATCGATTAATTTAGACCCTGAAACATATCAACACGATACCCTTTGTTCATCAATGCGATTCATTCGTTTCGGTTTTGAATAGTGATTTTGTGATAGATTCTGTTTATTCAAGCTCCAAGAAACTGTTCCATTTTTAGATCACAAACTTTTTGACAGCATAAAACAACGAATCATACACGAACCAGGGAAACTCTACATTCAAAACCTAAGAAGCATTATTCAGTGCTTGTCGCCAAATAAAATAATGAGACAATGAGATTTCTGGATGTTTATAAATGCCAGCTGAAATAATAGGCTTCTGAAAATGTGAAACATTCGTCCACAGATCAAACAACTGGGTGCAAAGATTTGATTATCCGAAAGTGATCAATAGGTAAACTGAATCTTAAAATAACTGGTCAAAAGCGAGTGTTTCAGGGTATTTCCCAACAGTCAATAGCTGAATACATTCTGATCGACTCCGGAGGATAGAGCACGTCATAGATAGAATGTTTAACTTTTGCTCACTGGACATCGATTTTAAGTTCTTTACCACCTAATTATGCAGAGCAGTGAATAGCTTTCGAACGAGTTATAAGGACAGTAAGCTTGTAAAAATAGGTGGTTACGGTGAACATTTTCGGCAAAGTGAACCATTCTGATTGGTTTGTGTCTGAGCAACTCAAACACCCTAGCTCTGGTCCAGAATCAACAGGAAGAACAGGTCGTTTGATGCTACGGTGCGTGATACGACTAAGCGCCGAACCGAACTTCAGAATAATGCACAACAGACTTTGGTCCCGAGGACACAACAAGAATGAACTAACGACTAAATCCACACACCTATCCACATCCGACTCGGAGATCAACGCACGATTGTGTTTTACACCAGCACTACCAATATTATTACTACTACTGATGTCATGTTCTGCTCACATTTGCGAGTAGTGTGTGGGCACAAAGAAGAGGTTTTTGGATTTCACGGCATCCCCGAACGGATTAAAGGATTGTTCTATTGTAGCTATAGAAGAGACAAACACAGTGGCGGGCTGATGATCGCCGATGAAGAGATGTACACGGAAAACTAACCACCTGTTGCAAATTGGATGTTTCGTTCCGTGTAAGCTTTTTTAATCTTAATCTAAGCTTTCTTTGAAACACGTAACTCCCCTCAAGTCGGTACTGGCCTTTTAGAACTATAACACTACTACTACTATTGCTACGTCGACTACTGTCTCATTACACAAAAGTCAGAATGCGATCACATATCGTGCACCGCGTGAAAATTCCAGGCATACGGCTAGGCGGATTTGCCGAATGTTTGAAAGGTGACGGATACGCATCTATTTGACCCAGATTGATTCGTTTTCATCACGACCGCGAGCATGACAGATGGACCATGACCTGAGAGGAAGAAGAAAAACGGTTTCCGACTCGGTGGTGACTTATCTGATTTGGTCGGCCTCGACCGACATTGGCACAGCGACATACTTTTTCAGGTCACTGAATGTGATAAGACAACCTTTGAGATGAAATGTATGTATGATGGTGTGTTATACAGCGGTGTCTTTTCATAAACAACTTTTCAAACATTGTGGAATGAATATAGTGAATGTTGGTTGTGTTTACTATTCAAGAAATGAAATCCCCTTGTCACAAGAACCTGCTGTGCTATCAAGATTATCAGCAATCTATGCTTATAAATCTGTGACTAGCTACCCTTCAACGGCATGCAGTTGGTTTTAGGGCTCAAACCAGTTAATATCAACTGAACCTTAGACCTTCTAAATGCTAAGGTTTTTAATACCGATTACCAAAACCAAACAACAGATCTTTGTGACTGCGGGGTTCGTTCTTCATACTGGTCATCGAGTAATGGTGGTCCGGCGGTCTAGGTTGATAACAGGCGTGCGTTGGATCGTAATATCACAGATTCGAACTCCAGAACCGTCGACCAAATATGAGGCAGGACAACTTAACAGTCATCCGGAAAATAATACACTTATTTAAGTGAAGCTATATGTGCTTCGCCAATGCCAGTGCCAGGGATTAAGTTGCTAGTTCTTGGTGAGCAGTAAGCCTTGGTGACTTCCCAGTCCTAGTAACCTCTAAACATCACACAGTGGTGTTGGACAAAAAATGGAAGAAGATCATGAGTGATGTTTAAGCAACCTACCGCCAAGGTATGAATTAGATTGCATTGAACTGAATGTAACTTACCGGTGCCGTGTGTGACCCGCTTATTTGTGATCGTATTAGATGACCGAGTTTGGCATAGAGCCGTACCTTTACTGGATTCGAGTAGACCGATACGACGTAGGCAATCGGCCAGAGAACTTCGTAAACAGGCCAATTCGTTGGCCTGTTCAGCACTGCGTTTTTCCAAATCGGCCACACGATCCAACAGACCGGCCTCTTCTAACTTCATCAGATCTGCGGCTGTGGACAAAACAGACAGGGGAGATTTTTGTAATGTTTTTTATTACACGAAAGTGAATACGGTAAAACGGGTCAACACTATTATCCAAGCATATACTACACGTGGGAAGATAAAGGGAACATTCAAGCTAGAAACAACACTCAGCGAACAAAAGCCAAAAGTTGGTTTTGATCACACAATGTCCATCCACAGCTACTTCCGTCACCGTGTGGTCAAATGGTTGAAGGGGCCAATTAAATGAAGCGAGGGAGTATTTTGTACGGAAAAACAAAAACGGTTGAAGAACTCGTGATGAACCATGTTTTGAGACTCTGGGAGAAATGGTTGTCGTAAAAAATGGTACTCATGAATTCATTTACATTCTACACAGATCGACCAAAAGAGTAGCCCAAAGATAGCAATCAAAAAAAATTGAAGCTGCAAACACATCTACGGTGGGCTCTTTGACGATGGAAATCATGGCTATTTATCGCCCTCCGCGTGAAGCATACAACAGCACATACAACAATCAGAACAGCAGTCCTCGTTGTCCCCCATAATTTTGCATTGTCTTGACAATGAACCAGTTCAAGTAGCCGTTATGCACAAAAACATTCAGCGGGAAAAGCAGCTAATTGTAGGTTGTGCATATTTTCCTTCCTCCACTGATCAGATCATTTGGAAGATCTGTCTTTTTTGAGCGAAACGTGTCCGTTCCACGTTGATATTCTGTATATCGAAGACCTAAGGAGGCTATCACACCGGTGGTATATGAATACGTCAAAGGACGTTAGAGTGGTCTCTTCTTGTCTCTGAGTACTTATTTATTTGTTCCCAAAACTGAGTTCCTGTGCCACATGATCAGGCACTTATCCGACCACATTGCAGAAAGCTACTCTGCTTGATGAAACAACTGAGAAATTGACATAATTATTATTACGGTGTTTGCATCTCGCTGATTTCAATCAATCAGCGAATTTGGGAAACGCACATCGCCCTACCTTAGCAATAGTTGAGGCACTCAGGAACAGCCCGTACAATTCCCTTCCCGTTGTGTCGGCACAAGGCTATTTGTGGAAGCGTTTAAACTCCCTTGATCTATTTATTCTTCCCTTACACTTGTGCAACCAGTGAAACAAATCAACTGCACGCATACGCCCTCACGATTGTTGTTCAATCGAGACCCGAAGGAAAGCAGTGCTTCCTTCGCCAAACGGTAATGGTTATCACATTAAATGTTACGTATTTTTGTGTTGAATATATCCTCTGTGGTAAACGGAATCATCGGAATGCCTCAGTTTTCCTTAGGGTGGGTCCCAAAAATGCTCTAATGGAGTATATTTTAAGGCATCTGCTGGTTAAGTTCAACTCACTACCGTCTCTTAACGAGCATTTTTATTTAAATGAAAGGTTAGAAAGTCAATATATGAGAATATAAGTAGGTCTGTGACACAAGGTGCGGTCGCTCATATAATAGAACACGAGTAACCTGATTTCAAAACCTTAAGGACAGGTGTATGACGGCTTACCTCGAGGTTACATGTGCGCTATCTCTCTCCATCCTACCTGCGCAAATCTAAGTGAACACCGATTGCCGAAAACCTTTAGATAATGAATGTCTTCTACGCTCAAATTAATGTTTTCACTCGTAAAGTGGAATTCAGGTCAAGTAATCGCTTCATGTACCTCACCAGATGAATATTCGGAACTTTGATAGCATTCATAATGCCCTAAATACCCAAGGTGTTTCACTTCTGAGTATACTGATAAAGCTTTGTAAATGCGTGATGTCATCTTAGTTGTGCCATCGTCATTCGCTACGCAGCTGCCTGGGTACGGGAAACAACCAACGGCAGCCGATTCTTGAACATCTGAATTCAAAACAGGAGCAATCGATAGGCAGTCTTGAGGAATTAATTGTAGTTTAGAGATGCAAAGTGCATACTAAAACGCGCAAAATGACTCGTTAAGCTGTCACGCGTGTTGTTCACATACATCTCCATAAACAGACGGAATCCTCAGCGTACTCCAAACCGAACAGTTTTGTTCCAAATGCCTATTTGATACCTACATTTTGAAGACGACCTATAGATCGTGCTGCAATATTTTGTCTACTAGGCGAATAGGACAGCCTTAACTAACACCGCTTCTGGTGATGAACGAGCTACTTGGTCCCCCATAGATCTTGAAGCTTACGAATATAGTGGCCTCAGTATGTTGGCGTACTTTTGGGGGTATTCCTTCGCGAACAACGGAGGCAGTTTAATGGTTGTATGAGTCGAAGTCAATCTTCGGTCGATGGTGTGTGCGACGTGACTCGGGAACTTGAAGTAACTCAGAAATTTGATGAGTAGAACCCCAACTAGGTTATAATCTGTTGTCCTAGAGGTATCAAACATAAAAACAAGATGAAGACCAAAACTGCTATGGCATGGGATGAATCTTATCCCATCGAACCTTGTTCAGCCGTTCAAAGATCCCTTCTTGAGCGTGGAACAAATAAATGATTAGTTTTAAGATGATGGAATACGTTCCTGCGATCAGATGTTATGCTTCAAGTCGGCAATAAAGCCCGTGAGGCTAAACTCACGTCTCTCACTTATTGAAGAGGCAGTCCTTCCCCTCGTCGGCGATTGAATGCAAGACCGTACATGTGCTTCCGTTGAATGATCACCTAACGCTGTCCACTGAGTTTTGGCTTCAACAGACGAGGTGATCGGGCTGGGGTCAGACCACCTGAATTGATCTGTGCAGTATTGTGACTAGCGATAAACTCGTTATACCTTATTTTAAATAACTTATCCAGCTGTATCCCGGGTTATTTCATTGACGGAGAGGAACCAACCGTCGGTGTTACGTATCATATATAACGGCATTCGACCATTCCTTAATGCAGCGGCCGATTCCATTTCAACAGTTATTTTTGCCAACCGGATTTCACTGTCCTTCAGGCCCCATGAGCTGACGTGGAGACACCACTTTCCTCTGTTTCGATCCTCGCCGGTCAGGATTTGTCACCTCTCCTCCATCAAGGTTAGTGATTATCAGACGAGCTTCCGGCTCGCAACCGCAAGCGACCTTCACTGCCGAATGCTCAGCACAACTAATCCTCAGTTCAGTTCAGTTTGTACAACTATTAGCCATGCACTATAGTGCGCCAGTTTGGTTGCTATCTTTCGGCTGCCGGTTTGGATCAACAAGACAGGAAAGGTTGAAAATAGGATTGAAGAGGAAATTGAAAAATTCAGTGGACTAATGATATAGAGAAATTGAGAGGCACAAACGCCACTGTTTACGACACCCAGCCATATCACTCAGCGTCTCTAACCATCGGTACGACCATCCCGAGGTCCTCATAAAGGGAGCCTAACAGGACCTATGTCACCCAGACTCCAAGTTAAGGTTTTCATACTCTCATTCCAGGTCTTAGCTTGACCACCCTGGGCTTTCTTCCACCCACTACCTGCCTCGACAAACAACGTTGGTCACACAGCCACCTAAATACGAGCAGTCAACTTCAGTTAATTCCTGACCGTCTAGTTTCAGAATAGAACTCGGTGAAACCCAGTCTTGTAGCATTATTCTCCACTTTGAAGCACATGCCGAAC